CCACTTAGTTACAAACACTGGCCAAAATTGGCGTTTTTTGCATTTTTCACACACAAACAAATACTAACGCTAACTTTGGCCAGTGTTTGTGACCAAATGGCTACTAAAAAGGACTGGACATACCCCATTTGCAATACCTTGGGTTGTCTACTATTGCAAATGGTATGCCATTATGGGTGTAAATTTCTTTCCTGGGCTACTATAAAGTCCCAAAGGCAACGTAACCAATCTGGCGAATTTCAATTTCAAATGTAATGTGCTATATTTGACCCTGTAACTTCCAAAAACGCCATAAAACCTGTACATAGGGGGTACTGTTTTACACGTGAGACTTTGCTGAATACAAATATGTGTATTTTATTGCAGTAAAAGCAAACAGTATTATGACATTGACCGTTAAAATGTCATGTAGAACTAAAAAAAATCTTATTTTCTCCCATTTTTTTCATATTAAATTATGTTTCATAGCTAGATATTTGATATTAAATGAAAGCCCTGTTTCCCCTGAATAAAATGATATATAATAAGGGTGGGTGCATTTACTATGAAAGAGGTGAATTACGGTTGGACAGACATGTAGCGCAAATGCCAGGTTTTGTTTACATTTGTTTAGTTCACAACGTGTACATTTGGCTCCGTCCTTAAGGGGTTAATGTAAACACAGCCTTTTCAGAGAAAAGAGAACAGACACTGTGTGTAGCACTGCCATTGGTTCATATGGCGGTTCATATGGGTGGGGCATTATAATGTCTCATGATAGGCAGAGCATATGGAGGTTGAAATTTTTTGTTTGCCATGGGCGGCAAAAATCCTTGCACCGGCCCTGTTTACCCCTCCAGCGCCCCCTCTGCACAATGCAAGCATACACATTTGCTAATGACTTGTCTCTGGTGTCCCCAATAATGAGATACCAAAGAACAAAAGCGGAACAGGGCTGTTAAAGTGTGTTGTGCATGTGTTTGGAAGCTCCCTGGGTTGTTCTAGAGCAGGGGTAGGCAACCTACGGCACTAGTGCCATGCACGGCACTCGAGGTGCCTTTGCACGGCACTCAAGGCTACAAGAGCCAAACAGGCTCTGACCTGTCAGGAGTCCCAGTGAAACTTCAGATATCTATAATACGAAAAGGTGGTGATGGACAATCCTCAATTTATGCATTGCAGCACATAGAGGAAGTGATCTCAGATCACTTCCTCCCAGCACTTGGGAATGAGAATCCACACTGGAGTAAAGCAGCCCGCAGCTGCTGTTGCAGCTTATGTCCTTGAGCTGTACCTGGCCAGCCTGGTCCCCACTAAAACCCAGGGAAGCCTCCCACACTGCTAGATATACACAGAGCTGCAGAATAACCCTCCCCTCATACAAATAATACAAACACACACACAGTCCGCATAAACACAACACCACCAACAATCCACATACATGCATACATCCACACGTGCAGCCTCTCACATGCAATACCCCAAACAGCCCCACACATACACACACTACCAAATACACAATGTGACATATCCATCCACACACAATTCCAAAAGCAGCCCCCATACACAGCCCAAATTCATAGGTATTATACATGATACCACAAACTATTAATGAACATATACAATATAATAGCTCATATACACACAAATACAACGATACAAAGCAACTGCAGTATAAATAACACAAGCAGAATATGGCAACATGCACACCTCAATTTAAAGAAATAGGACCGACACGCTACGGGACATCACAATCATATTTTGTCACAGTGCTGCTAAAAGGTTGCCTACCCCTGTTCTAGAGGGTTCCTACCCCTGTTCTATATAAGGGTCTGTTTCTGGTGTACTATGTGTGGCTAGGGGTTGTGTTGTGTGTTTCTTGGTTGTTTTAGGGCCTGTAGCGAGTGTGGGCCTTGTATGTATAGTATGCGCATTTAATGGCTCTACTGTGTGTGTATCTAGCGGCTGCAGGGGGATGCTTTGTGTGTGTATACGTATAGAGGTTGCAGTGCACATGTGAAGTGCAGTGAAGGCTCATCAATAGACTGTAATCTTTAAGTTTGGATTCCAATATTGTTGAATGGGTTAGGCAGTGGCTGAGGGACAGGCAACGAAGGGTTATAGTCAATGGAGTATATTTGAAGCTTAGGCTTGTCACCAGTGGGTTACCTCAGGGATCTGTACTTGGACCCATTCTCTTTAATATTTTTATCAGTGATATTGCAGAAGGTCTTGATAGTAAGGTATGTCTTTTTGCTGATGATACTAAAATTTGCAACAGGGTTGATGGAACATCAGGAGGGATAAGCCAAATGACAAATGATTTAGAACAATTATAAAAATTGTCAGAGCTGTGGCAATTGACATTTAATGTGAATAAGTTAATTCAGCAAGGACTGACATTAATTATGGGGGATTTTAGCAGTATAATTGATCCATGAAAAGATAGAAAGAGTCAGAGTGATAAAAAAAATTAGGATACCAAATGAGGATAGGTTGCAAAATTTACTGAACAACTACAATTTAAGAGATATATGGAGAATATTCCACCCTTCTGATCTGGATTATACATGTTACTCTAAAACATATAACTCTTATTCTAGAATAGACCTCATATTGGGAAATTTGAGCATGCTGTATCTTGTTAAAAGAATAGAAATACAAGATATAACATGGGCAGACCATCGTCCAATCGGGTTAGAATATAAAGATACCTTTAAAATCTTCCATAAAGAGTGGCATTTGGGAGACCATATACTACACAAAAAAAATAACGTTGAAGATTACTAAACTCTTTTTTTTTAGAAAACAAGAAAAAAATACACCAGACTTCACGGTCTAGTGCGCGTACAAAAGTGTACTTAGAGGGCAAATGATAAAAATGGCAGCTATCGTAAAAAAAAAAAAAAGTACCACCCCTCCAGGAACTATATATAAAACTAAGTGATCATAAAAAACTGAATAAATTAACACCTTCTACACAAACAGCAATTAAGATTGCAGAAATGGAAAAACAGATAAATAATCAGCTAACCAATAAAGCAGCCAAAATGCTAGAACGATTCCAAGTCAAGTCGTATCTAAAAGGTAATAAACATTAATGAAGCATTAATGACCAATAAATTGAAAAAAGAAAGGCACAAAAGAGTAATATATAAAATTAAGGAAAACAAAACATATCTAATTTCTAGAGTTGAGCGGACACCTGGATGTTCAGGTCCGGCGGGTTCGGCCAAACTTTGAAAAAAAGTCTGTGTTCGGGCTCGAACTTGACCCCGAACTTGACCCTGAAGTCAATGGGGACCCGAACTTTTGGCCACAAAAATGCCTCTAAAAACTCCTGGAAAGGGCTAGAGGGCTGCAAAAGGAAATAAAAAGGGGGTAAGAGTAAGACAAGTGCCCTGCAAACAAATGTGGATAGGGAGATCACTTAAAATAACATACAAATTAAAAATACAGCTGAGCCATAAAATAGCACTAGATGGAATCTTTGATTTTAGCTTTGGAAGAACATAAATCAAAATCTAAAGCATGGTTGTCAGGAGGATCAACAGAATTATCCATTTGAGAGAGGGTTGGAGTGCAGGGTATTCTCTTTCATTGTTCAAACTGAGCTCAACTACTGATGCATGGAGAAAAGGCCTTCACAAGCCTCTGCTATTGTGTACCTAGTTTATACTAAGTGACCCATAGGTTGAGGAGGGGGTGACCATGGTGGTGTAGGTGGAAGCGGCAGTGGAGGATGAGGAGGTAGCCAACACTGTTTTTTATATATATTTTTTAATTTTAATTGGGGTAGCCCCCAAAATATTGGGACATACCAAAAAAGAAACATTTGCGGCCTGTGGTGCATTTCTTGCAGTCCTGATGCATGGAGAAAAGGCCTTCACAAGCCTCTGCTATTGTGTACATAGTTTATACTAAGTGACCCATAGGTTGAGGAGGCGGTGACCATGGCGGTGTAGGTGGAAGCAGCGGTGTAGGAGGGGGATGAGGTAGCCAACACTGTTTTTTATGGGGTTTTTTTTTAGTTGTGGTAGCCCACAAAATATTGGGACATATAAAAAAAGATACATTTGCAGCCCGCAGTGCATTTCTTGCAGTCCTGATGGAGAAGACTGATTGCCAGCCTCCTGCCATGTGACTATGGCCCCTGGGATGTATTGCCCTTTAAAGACATGATTTGGGCATAATGGATTTATGTTGTGCTGCTGCTGGCCCTATAAGAACCATCTGGGGACATACTGTGAAGTTACTGGGTGGCCACCATTTCATGTATCAGAGGCACATAATGAGAACAATGGATGAAGCACATGGTGAGAACAATGGATAGCGGCCATTTTAACTCACAGACACTGTTTGGACTTTTCTAAACTGTGCCATCTCGCCGGTATTTGGTGCACAAAGACATCGTGCTGTAGTTTTAAACTATACAACAGGGGACACATTATACAGTAATTATTTTTCATATAGCCTGTATATGTTCTGCGGAATCTGCATTAAACTGTATCTTCCAAACTACTCAACGGATCTGGGTGAATTTTGGATATGTGGTTCACCCAGATCCCCCAGTTCCGAGGATATACTTTTATGGGGTTATTGCATGTTTTGGGGTCCCTGTGATATGTTTTATAATACTGTATTTCTCTGCCTGTGATAATTATATTAACCATTGTGTTCAGTAATCATATCACAGGCAGAGGGGAGGATTTTGTGTGGGAGTGTCTGTGTGTATTGTACGGATTGATTGGTTGTATTTCAAAACCCTGTGGGCAGGACTGTGTTTGTGGATTGGGAATAAAAGAGGCTGTATGTGCCAGTACAGTCAGTTCTGCTTGACCTCAAAAGGAAGTGTCGTCTCGTTATTGGGGGAATTGGATTGTATGCTGATTGCCAGGAGTGTAAGCTGATTGTATGCTTTTCCTGTTCAGCTGCTTACAGCATTCATATGCTTAAGAGCATTCGTATGCTTCTCCGGTTCGGTGGTTGTGGTGTCTGCTGCAGTGCTTGGAGTCCTCAGGAAGTGCTAGGAGCATCCTTCAATGGAGGTACTCAGTCGGGGTGCCAGGTGATCCGTTACACCCACAAAATATTGGGACATATAAAAAAGACAACTCTGTTCCGCAGAGTAGCTGTTGACATTATAGTTGTGCAGGCACTTTGTTGACTCTAGAGAACCTCGGACCAATCGCACATCCCTGTGACGGAGACTTTGCATTTGGATGTCATCCATATCAACTTTTGATGCCAGTTTCTGTGCCTACCATGGTGACCATGGGTAACGGGTAATCAGGGTTCCATTCCGTACATGGAGCCTGAGAAACTGCTACCACATGCAAGGAAGGCAGCAGGCGCGCAAATGACCCACTCCCGACGCGGTTAGGTAGTGACGACAAATAACAATACAGGACTCTTTAGAGGCCCTGTAATTGTAATGAGTCCAATGAAATCCTTTAACTCTGATCAATTGGAGGGAAGTCTGGTGCAGAGCCACTGACCTGTGCGTGCTGCAGCTGAAACTCCACTATCGCCTGCTGCTGCTTGCACAGTCTCATGAGGCGGTGAGCGGGAAGGCCGAAGTTACGCTGCAACGCAGACAGGCGAGCAGCAGCAGGGTGAGAACGCCAAAAGTGCGCACAGCCGCTACAGTGAATGTCACATCCTGTACCAAATGGCGTATCAGTCTGGTGATGGCTTTTGGTATCCAGTACTCTTTTTACTGAAGCTGCATCAGGGTCCTGGTATGTGGCTGAACAAACGCTGGTGCTCAACACCAGGGGGCGTGCGGTTACCCTGCACCAGACCCTGCTAATCCATTCCACACTGTGACTCCTCATACTGGGTCCTGGTCATCCGACCGCCGCCCAGACAGTGTCTGGGTCCTGGTCACCGGACTGCCCACTTGACTGTGAAACTACGAATGGATCATTAAATCTGGTACGAACCTGAACTTTGCAGTTCGGGTTCGCTCAACTTTATTATGGATCCTTTGATCGCTACATGTATTACTTCGATAACTGGTAATTCTCGAGCTAATACATGTCGACGAGCGCTAGGGGACAGCCGCTCCGCTTTTGCACCCTGCTCCTTCTTATGCTGTGCTGGTGCTTCTGTGCGACCAGCGCCTCTTCCTCCAAACTGCACACGTCACTCGCATGACCTTGATTCCATGTGGGGTCTAGGACCTCATCATCCTCCACATCATCTTCTACCCACTCCTCAACCCTGCCCTCCTTGCCGGTATGCACACTGCAGAAAGCCACAGCAGTTGGCACCTGTGTTTTTCCAGCATGTAAAGTCTGCAAAGGACATATGGAAATTGTTTTAGAATTGTATCCAGGCAACAGTTTTCCCTATAAACTGACCTCTCAGTTTGACTTGTGAGGGTATTGCCCCAGAATAACAATATTGTTTAAGTACCTCTTAGCTATTGATAACTGGTTTAAATATAGCAGCTTGTTATCTGGTAGTTTCTAGTTTGGAAAATATCAATCTGTTTTCTATCACTTAGATCTGTGTAACAAGTGTTGTAGGTGTGAAACAATATTACAAGTGACCGATTGTAGTAAATTCGAATCAAAGTTCCATTTGCAAAAAATATTCTAGCCCATCTTCTGTGGGTTTATGGCATTTTTAAGATGTAGACTTATTGTACCACACTAGCCATGCACAGGTAGATTGTCTGGCACGTTGTTTTGGTGTTTGTTTTTTAACTTTGTAGTTGTGTCTTTACACAATATAGAAATGTATATTAATGCTTCTGTATATGAAGCGATCACAATAACACTCATTTTTCACTTTAAAAAAAAAAAATCAGGCTACACAAAAATTGGTAATTCACAATATGACATCTGAAAAGCACATGAAATGATGCTGTATGATTTTTTTTTAAAAAAGAACACACTACATGAAGGTCCTGTTCACTAGAGTGTGTAGTCACGAATGTAACCAGTAAAACTTTGTTTTTACAGCCATTGTTGGCCCATACATATTTTAAAACTTGTTTAATTTTTTTGTAGCATGACATATATATGAAGAGCAGGCCCCAAAATGTACTATTTATCAGATTAGCACCCAGAAAATAAGAATGTTTACCACTGCACTGTAAGCACACTATTAGACGCTTCTATTTGACTCTCAGATATGAAGTGCACGCCCCAAATATACTATTTAGCACCCCAAAATTATTTTTTTTATTTTTTAAAGCTCCAATGTAAGCAGCAGATTAGCAGCAAAACAATTAGAATGTTTACAACTGCGCAGTAAGCGCACTATTTGACTCACATATGAAGTGCACCGCAGGCCGCAAATGTACTATTTAGCAGATTAGCACCCAGAAAATAAGAATGTTTACCACTGCCCTGTAAGCACACTATTAGATGCTTTGATTTGACTCTCAGATATGAAGAGCAGGCCCCAAAATGTACTATTTAGCAGATTAGCACCCAGAAATTTAGAATTTTTTACAAGTGCGCTGTAAGCACACTTTTAGACGCTTCTATTTGACTCTAAGATATGAAGTGCAGTCTGCAAATGTACTATTTAGCAGATTAGCACCCAGAAAATAAGAATAAAGAGACAAAAAGTTGACCCCGCAAAAAACGGGCAAATAAAAAAAAAAAATGTTTTTAAAATAATAATAAAAGTAAAGCAGATAGAATGGAAATAATGGAATTTGTAATAGGATCTAAAAGAAATGTTGGGGGAAGGGTACAGGGTGGGGATAATAGAGCATTAGATAAGGTTTAAAGAATTTCGTTTTCTCCCTCTTACTTCCTTTGTCTTTCCTTATCGAGGAACTTTAATTAGGAAAGAAGCGAACCCAAATCACTGTTTGGGAAGCTCAATAAAGGGATGGGAATCAAAGGGGAAAAAGGAAGGGAGAAAACATTAATGATTACAATGCCTATACTACATATGTAATAACGTAATTATATAATGGCAGGTACAAGCCTGAAATGTTGTTTTAAAAAAAATTGGGCAGTCTAGATGGGCCGAATGCTTCTTATCTGCCGTCCCATTCTATGTTTCTATGTAATAAAGTTTTAACTGATATCCATGTTTTAAAGGATTGAAACGCTTTTACGTAAGTAAAAGTAACGACAATGCCATAGAGCGCAATCAAAATAATGAAGACAACAGTGGTTTAAAAAAAAAAAAAGTTTTTTAAAAATGAAATCTACTTTTTCCCTTCTTATTTTAATTCTAGTGCACTTGGAATATGGGTGGGGGGTAGTATGTAACTACAACTTAACAAAAAAAGAGAGAGAGAAGCTATAAAGATACTACAAAAGGATGACACAATAGATATCAAGCCAGCCAATAAAGGTGGGGGCCTAGTCATCCAATCAAAAGACGCCTATATTAATGAGGCCCATAGGAAACTTAATGACAATAATACATACAGTATTCTCGAAAAAGATTCAACTCTAGATATTTAATTGAAATTAACTAACCTATTAGATAGGGATCGCAACAATGTGATTTTAGATTTACAGGAGTTCAGCTATATTAATGTATTACTATAGTGTCCTTTTAAGTCTCTCTTTTCGTGTATGTGTTCTAATCCCACCTCTTTATTTTATCCCATTTTAGTCACACATTCATGTACTTTTTGACTAGTAATGTATATATCAAGTGTAATTATTGTAACGGGCCGTTTTGCACACAAGGGGTTTAAAACCGTTTAGGCGATCGTCCCGAAACCAACCTCGCCACTGTACACTGGAGAAGCCTGGTTGCTCGCCTGCTCCCTTTAGACTATGGTCCTGCATTTTAAACTTTTAGTTTACCGGCAGAAAGGTTTATTCGTGCCTTTCTGCGGACTGTTAAAGCCATGCTACCCCAGATAGCTATGCCATGGAGCCTGCTTAACCCTCAAAGTGAAGTGTCGTCTCATTAATTGGGAAGGAGTTATTGTATGCTGTTCCAGTTTGATTGCCAGGAGTGTTTTTCCTGTTCAGCTGTTTCCAGTATTCGTGAGTTTCCTGTTCAGGAGTTGGAGAATTCGTGTAATTTGCAGTTCGGGAGATTGGTGCTTGCAGTAGCTGTCTGTGCATCTGAAAGGGGAATATCGCCTAAACGGTTTTTAACCTCTTGTGTGCAAAACGGTCCGTTACAAAGGGAATGTTCCAAACTCCCGAATGGCATACAATATAGCACTCCAAACACACGAACTGGAACCATACGAATCGCTGCTAGCAGACGAATAGGAAAAGCATCGAAGCGGCTTACACTCCTAGCAATCAGTCTCTATCAGCATTCAGTAAATCCCCCCCAAAGACGAGACAAGGCTCCGTGTTGAGGCTCAAGCAGTGGTCTGGTTTAATGAAGGCTACCTGCCCAGTATTTATGCATGTCTCCCACCTGGTGGACACTTCCCTAGGGGACCAAATGGGAGACTGTGACAAAAGACAGACAATCAGCCAAACAGGACACACAGTCACATTTTATTCCCACAATGCACCCTGGCTTCCTCCCCTATGCCTTGGATATAATTGAGAAGTAATTCAATTATCTCCCAAGACAAAGGCAAATCCCCATTATGCACGTGGGGATACTAAAACATGAATTACTATTAAAATACACAGTATGACACAAGTTACAATAAAACTATACATTTAACATGTCTCCAGATAGCTCAGGTCTGAGCGCGCATTATTAAGCGAATGGCGCTCAGACCACACGAATATAGTTCAATCGCCATGGAGCCAAAGTCTTTACACAGTCAGTTCTCATGCGAATGGGCTCCATGGGATTCCTATCAGGGGTATAACATAGTCAAGTAAAACTACCGAACACCGGGCCGTTCGTGCACTTTCACTGAACAATTGCTCTCGTCACAATTATATTTTATTATTTAATGCCCTCTATGTATTTCGTTATACAGAGATCTGTCAAATGCTTATTTTTATATATGTCCCTATTTTGTATGTATATCAAGCATTTTGCTATTTCTATTTGAGATCTTTTTGTAAGTTCCTACCTATATTATGTATATATACAATGTATTTACTTCCCATTCACTAATATTCCCTTTCAAACTTTCAACCTCTCTCTTTCTATTCCTCTGAGTATTGGCCATTATTCCGTATTAAATATGGCTGCCTACATACACATGTACGTTTGACAGTGTCTCCCCAGAAGAACACTAAAGATCTGAATAAGACACATGTGCGATCAGCTCAATTTTGTGCGAATGTGCGAGAAGACGTAAAAAAGAACAAGGGGGGGGGGCAGGGCTTGACCACTGAGAGCAGAGGAAGCAAACTTGTATAGCTCCTGCTTTGTAGCACTAATTAAGTGGAATTCGGCTGTCAAAACGGGACCTAAACGGCCCAAAAAGTTGTTGGACTAGCCTGTATAGTCGTGCCTATAATTATAATTTTAGTTGA